GCCCGTTGTCGCTCGGTCTCCAGCAGCAGGCGGGCAATGCTGATGCAAAGATGAACGTCTCGTGCATCAATGGGGTTGTCAAGCTGGCTCGTCAAGGGCGAAGGGATCCAGCTGGCAGGCGACGCGCGAAGGGGTAGGAGGGGGGGAGGCGATGGATTCAGGAATGGCGAAGAAGAGGAGATTCGTTTTCGCCAATCCGACCGGCAACCGAACAAATGTTGATCTCATCCGCCAGGCACGCCACGGACACGGCTACCAAAGCGGTTCTGGGTCGCCGAGTCGTGTTCCCTTGGGGGGGATTTACCGTGCCAAGGTACCTCTGGTCCCCTGTAGAGGTGCTGAGATTACCAAGACGGCTTGGGCCACAAGGGGCTTGCTTGCCTCGCCAGCGGGGGATGCAACCTGCCTTGCCTCTTGCCTGCCTACCTGTATCTGACTTGCCGAGCGGGCCACTCCAAGAGCCTCCATCCCCCTAATGTACAACTGGCAAAATTTGCCATGCGTGCTTCCTATCCAGGTCCCTTGCCTGGCAAGCCTGGTAGGTAGACTCAGGTCGGAAAGGCCCCTGAAAGCTTGGACCGCCCACCAGGGATGCCGTGCTGATGAGGTGCAGCGTCTGAGAGACGACATCGGGTGGGGCCGTCAACCCGCATCGTCGCGGCTCTCATTCGCCGACTGCGTCATGTAAGGGGAACCTTAAAGGAGTCGAACTCGAGAAGCTTCACCACATTCGTCTTTCCGCTCCCCTCCAAAATTCCGCTTGCGTGGAAACACACCAACCATCAGCTCTCGACAATAACACGGTGCATGTTTGGCCAGACGGGCCAGATTCACCATCACAGAGATATATACTGTCATTAGTCTCTCTCGAACCTCAGACTTTCCTCTCCTTCCTTCTTCGTTTCTCCCCCTCCCCCTGTCGCGCCATGTCTCTCCCCTCATCCTCCTCGAAACCATCACAAACCACCATCAAGTCGTTCTTCCAACCTCGTCAGCCCAAATACGCCGCCCCTCCATCGCAGCCACAGCCTCTGCCGAAAGGTCTCAGCTACGAGGCACCCCTTCTGCCGCCGTCCCTGACCTTCTCGTCGCAACCGAACCCCGCATCGGCCACCGCCCAGACCGCCATCGCGACCCCTCGGCCCTCGAGCCAGACCCAGACCCAGACCCAGACCCAGACCCAGACCCAGACCCAGACCCAGACCCAGACCCAGACCCAGGGCCTGACCCAGCAGCGCCCCGTCGAGATCCCCGCCGAGGCCGCCATCCGCACCCTCTCCGCCTCCGACATAGCGGCCCTGCGCCGCATCAACGCCCTGCTGCTGCCCGTCGCCTACCCAGACTCGTTCTACACGGCCGCGCTCTCGAGCCCCTTCTCCCGCGCCATCACCTGGTCCGACCCCAACCCCGACCCCGCGCCCCCCGCCGCGCCGAAACTCATCGGCGGCCTCGTCGCCCGCCTCGAGCCCCTGACGGCCACGACGCAGGCCCTGTACATCCAGTCCCTGGCCCTGCTCTCCCCCTACCGCGCCCACGGCCTCGCGACCGCCGCCCTCGCCGACCTGCTCGCCGCCCCCGAGCTCGCCGCCCTCGCCGTCACCACCGTCTACGCCCACGTCTGGACCGAGAACGCCGACGCCATCGCCTGGTACGCCGCCCGCGGCTTCGCCCGGGACCCCCGCGTCCAGGAACGCTACTACCACAAGCTCCGCCCCGACACGGCCTACGTCGTCTCCCGCGACCTCGCCGCCCCGCTGCCCGCCCGCCCCGCCGCCATGGGCAACGCGTCCAGCGCCCCGGCCCCCAGCGTCACCGCCGCGGCGGCCAACCTGGCGCAGCCGTCGCCGTCCTCGTCGAGCCGGGAGACAGCAGCAGCAGCAGCAGCAGCAGCAGCCTCCCAGACGAGGCCGGGCCCGCCGCAGTCCCGCGGCCAGTCTTTCCAGAACAAGCGCGCCGAGACGGAATGGAATGATCTCCCCTCCGACATGGCCCCCAGCCTGCTGGCGCCGCCGTCACGCGCGAGCAGTGGGCCCGGCTCCGAGGCGAGTTCCCGGAGCAGCTCAACCGTGCGCAAGAAGAAGGACCGGTCGTATCCCGCGGCAGCGTTTCAATCTTGATATTGTCAGGATCGCGCATGTGGGAGCTGTTTCGAGATTCAATAGCGTAAACCGGACCTCACGAGAGATGAGGGGCCTTGTAACGATGATAGATCGGTCGACGTGGGACATAGAGTTTCGTGGAATTAATTTCTTCTGCATCATGACGACCAACGCGTGTTGCCGAGGTAGCAACAAGTTCATATGACGGTCTCGGACGTGTACATGCTAGGTTCGGGTTCCGTCCTTAACCAAGATAAAAAATTGATATACGCCTTACAAGTAGAGCAAACAGACGTCCAACTCCAGAAAATTCCCAATGTTCCTGCCTCCCTTACACACATGGTTTCTTTTGCGCGCCGCTTGTCATGCGCGAGTGTTTACGGCGTTCCATCAGCATTGTCGCACTGCCACGTCCCTCGTCATGACATGGCTTAGATGTAGTTTCGTCGCCTAGCCCAGTACAGGGCAGCCACGGCTGCCGCTCCAACAATGCCAGCACCAATCGCAACCTGCTGGTTCGATGTCAGGGAATCATCCGCTAGAGAGCAGTCAGTCAGCATTTTTTGAAGACTTAGGTCCTTTTCGGAAGCCTCACCTAGCGTCGGGATCGAGTCCAATTCGCGCTTGACGGAATCCCTAAAGTCGGCCACATCGCTCGTCTCCTTCTCCATGCCTGCAGCCACCAGCGCGATGAGAGCGGCACCAACGCCGCTGCCATCCTTGGCGATGCCAATGCGAATCTTCTCAGCACCCTTGGACCCGATGCCGTTGACAGCCCGCAGCGCTTCGTAAATCATGTCACGAAAGAAGGGGTAGTGCTCGACTAGGCTGCCGTCAACGCCGATATCAATGTATTCGGCCTCGGGGTCGTCGAGTTTGCCGGACTGCAGGACAATCCCAGCGATCGCAACGGCGGAGAGTCTTGCGGCACGGCGGCCGACGGCGCCGGCAATAGCCTTGAAGGCCTGTGCGTCCTCCAAGGAAGGGGTGTAGACGTGCAACACAGTCTCGAGCTCCTGTCGCAGAGTGGACAGCTCAGGCGTGTTGTCGGAAGCGGCCACGGACATGATGGCACTGTCCAAGCCCCACTGCTTGCGAATGCTCGACTTGGGGTCGACGTCGGTGGTAGACCTCCAGTCGTTGTGGCTGGAGTTGTCGTCGCGGAAGAGCGAAAGCTTGTCATCCTTGATCATATCAACAACGACCCGCCGAACAATCTCGCCGAGGAACATGCCCGAGACGCGCTTCTCGAACATCTGGATGCCGGGGTTGACACTGTCCTTGTCGAGGGACGTGTCCCACGGTGTCGTGGGCAGGACGTTGAGCTGGTTGTCGAACGAACCCCACTCCGTGTTGACGACCATCTCGCCCGTGGCCGCGTCGTAGTCTCCCTGGATGGGCTTCTTGATGTTTGACAGCTTCTCGAGGTAGGCGCCGTTGGTGCCGGTGCCGAAAATGGCTCCGAGGAGAGAGCCCTCCTTGCCGTTGGCGGTGTAGGAGCGGGCCATGAGGGTTCCAACCGTGTCGTTGACGAGCGCAGCGACACGGACGGGCAGGCGAAGGTTGTCGATCTCGTCCTGGAGCAGGGCGCAGACGTCCTTGCCGATGGCGTCGGGGATGTCGAAACCCTTGGTCCATCGGATCAGGTTGCCCTTGTTAATGGCGAGCTGCTCGACGGGGAAACTAAAGGTGAAACCGAGACGGAAGATGTGCTCGTCCTTGTAGCCAGACTTGGAGCTAACAGTGCGGCGGCGGCGGACGCTGTTCTCAAACTGGTCCTTGTGGTGCTCGCGCAGGAACGCCTCGATCTGCTTGGCGAGGAAGGAAAACAGCTCGGTGGCTGTCTTGGCAACCATGAGCTCCTTGGGGATGGCGACCTTGCTGTAGGTGAGGTTGAAAGTCGTGTCACCGTTGAGCTTGACGGAGCAGACGCGGAAGTTGGTGCCCCCGAGGTCGACGGCCAGGTAAAGGCCCTGGGCACGTGGTCAGCGTCTGGGGTACAGCTGCGGGGCACGGGGGAGACAGAGAGAGTGTATGAAAAAGAGAAAAGACAGAGGGTGAGAAGTTTGCCTACCTTTTCGGTGCCATTGGGGACGCCCGTGACGTAGGTGGGAATCTGGCTCATGCTGGTGCCATCCTTGCCGAGGCCCTCCTCTGGTGACGGGTCAGCTCAATTGGGTCACGACGATGGAGGTGGAGGAGGGGCAAGCTGCGTGGCATGATGTACAAAGCTCGAAGCAAACAAGATGGGCGGCACACTCTACGTACGCATCTGGGAGAGGAACTCCTCGACGGCCTTGTTGACATGGTCGTCGGTAAAGTCAAACTGCGACACAAGGCGCTTCGTTTCCGCTTCGAGGGCCATGGTGAGTGGTCGTGAGGTGGGCGGCAAGGTGGGAAATGGCGCTGGATTCTCGCAGACGGGTTCGAGATTGGGGTAGATTTCGATGGCGGGGGAGAAGAGAGGTCGCAAAAAAAAGGGAAGCTGGTGGGAGGGCAAGAAGAGGGACGGATGGAGCTGGAGCGGGAGCGGGAGCGGGAGCTTGGCGTCGCCGAGGAGAAGCTGGGCGAGCTAGGCACGGGCAGAAATCAGTTCATGATCTGATGGCAGAGGCGTGTGGGATGGTTGGAGACGAGGCGGCGAAGTGAGGAAGACAAGGAGGAAGGTGAGGAAGGAAGAGGGGAGAGGAGGGCACGAGGACGAGGACGAGGCGACAGAAAGAAGCGCGGAGGCAGAGAGGGAGATAGTTCAAGCCAAGACGAGACGAGAGAGGCGGGACCCAAGGCGAGGCAAGGTACCTACCTACCTAGATACTTAGAGGTAAGCAGGTAGGTACCCAGAGGTAGGTAGGTAGGCAAGAGGCATATGCGGGCTTTGATCGCAACATCCCAGTCAGGTGCAGCTCCCCAGTCCAGCCCAGCCCAGAGTCCAGGGAGCTCCGGTCTGGGTAGTTTGGTGCAAGCAAGACGCAGCGCCAGCGCCAGCTCTGCCTTAGCTCCCAGCTCCTTCCCGCCGCCGCGTTACCCAAGATGGATATGTGCGTGTGTGTGTGTGTGTGTGTGTGTGTGTGTGTGTGTGTGCGTGCCCCAGGCAGTCGCCTGTTTTGCTTTGCCAATTGCTGCGTGCGTTCAAGGGCAAGTCGCCAGCAGCATAGCAAATGCGGCGCGCGAGCTGTCTGCGGGGAAATTCGAGCACACACAGAGATCGGGGGCGCCAAACGTCATTGGACATGGGTCCGTCCAGTTGTCTGAGGATTAACTCCGGACACACTCCAGATTTCGCCGATTCCAAACATCATACCATGCTCACGGGCCACCCTCTGAGTGGATAACGCTCCTCTCGTGTCCCATCAAGCTGCATGCGACAAAACGTGGCAGGGCAGCAAGTTCGATGAGACGAGTTGGGCGAAGTGCCATGGCATTGTGCTTGTGCACCAGGGGACGTGAGGAATGAAGGTGTACGCGTGGAAAACGGAAGAGAGACAAGGCAAAGAGACAGGGGAAAAGAGAGGCTCACTCACCAAAACGGCCAACAGCACGCCCGCCGAACACAGCGCGTACCCTAGTGAGGATGGGCCCAGCTTGCCCATTCTCACACTGCTACTGCGCCGACGGGCCGCCCCCCCTCTACCACCTCCACCTGCTCCCCCTCCTCCAGCAGAAGCTCGCCGACCAGACACGGTGCCGGTTTGCCTTTGACGCTTGTCGTCGCCCACGCCCGTCCTCGCGTCCTTGCTGTCGTCTTGATCCTGGTCGACCTGGCGCTATCGTGATCGCCTCGACGTCAGCTCAAGAATAATGACCGCCAGGGTAAGAACAAAATAAGAAAAAAATGGCCCGCGCTCTCCCTGTCCCCGACCAGGGAGCGAGTGCACTCTTGATTGATGACGAATGACGCTCAACTCGTCATTCGCGTTCGTCTCGCTTCGCCCTTCGCTTGTCCTGGTGTCCTGTCGAGCCCGGTTGGGCGGCGCCTGCACCTGGGAATTGGTACTGGGGGGGATTCGGCTCGCCGGGATGCTCGCGAGGCAGGCGGACGCACCGTAAACGGCCCGTCTGTGGATGTGCGACGTTGGAAGAGGGTCTGCAGGCCCGGCCGAGCAGAGGGCAACCCTGCAGATGCAGAAACACAACCAAATGGCCTGTCGGTTCTCGATGAATACCTCGAGCGTGATTTTCCCTCCCTGGTTTCGTTCCTTTCGTCGAATGACAAAGGCCGCGCAGTTTCTTCGGAAGTGCAGCCTGAGAGAGGCCCGCTGTGCTCCTTTTTTCTCTCTCTCTTGCTTTCTTTCCTCTTCCGTAGTATTTGGCGCTGCGTTGGTGTGAGGACAAAGTCTACGCCCCCGACTGACTCGATCGAATCCAATGAGGCGGCGGAGAGGGGGGCTGCTTCTCTATCTTCTCGTGTCAGAAGTTGCTAAAAGGCTGCCGCAGATAGACGGTCAACTGGTCAAAGATGGGCCTTTTCTCATTCAGGGCGCCCCTTCGACCTTATAAGGAGTAGTTGCGGTGAGAAGGAGGGGGTGAAAACGTGTTTGCGCTTCCTCTTCACGATGGCCACGAGCCCAGCGATGCCCACTTCCTCCCCCAACACGCTGCGTGTGAGTGGGGGAATCGTGACCAACTTGGGATGGTCCTGGCCAGGGTTCGCTCCAAGCGCCTGTCTGCGTTCACACCGACTACCAGGAGCACGACGATATCGGAGCTTTGGTAAAGAAAAAGTCAAGAACTTCAAGTAACCTCCCCATCCACCTGAAGAATGAAGAAAAAGACGAGTAGCGGCAGGAGAAAAGGTTGAAGGCGAGGCCGCGATACCAGCAACACATGTTGCTTTTCTCTGGCGGTGGTGAAACATCCACATCTCTCCAGCGAAGAACCCGTCCCTGGTAGCGTCGGCATGCAGGGATCTCACAGAGACCTGGTCCTTCCCTGCACAAATTGTGCCAGCTTTCCCCACGGTCAATGTCCCCGACCACCGACCACTGGGGAGCCGCTCCATTTTGAACGTTGAATGGAGATGTGCAGCGAGCCACGGCTGCGATGACATGGAAAAAGCTGAATATAATGGCATTGCCTTCTCGTCAAGCGCGCGATCTTATTTCGATGCACGACGCGGCATCAGTGCATCTATCTACTTGTTCACGATCCCCCAGTTGGTCCCAATGACGTAGCTTGCCTAATAAGGTACCTCTTAGGCAGGTAGACACACATTTCCATATTATCCCTGACGCCCAATCGATCCCTCCTCAAAAGACTCTGAGACCCGGTCCTTCCCCGGACCTTCCACTGGTTAGCACATGAATCCTCGTTCACGAAGAAAAAGACCGCTTGACGATGAAGAATGAGAGCATTAACAGGGCTGCGCACGTCAAAAAGACATGGTTCCTGTGCCCGTCGCCCTCCTGGTCGAGGCTGTGTGCCACAACCACGAATAGATTGAGTGGGAGCCTCAGAATGCTGTACACCCTTCCCCTGACGCCGTCCTCCACGACCTCGCTCTTCAGGTACGACATGCTAGGGAAGTATGCGCCGATGCACATCTCCATCACGCAGAGCGTCCAGAACAAGACCTGCTCGTTCTCGAGCAGCACGGCTGCCGAAAGACAGCAGCTCGTCGCCAGCACCGTCATCATGAGCATGCCCGACGACGACTCCTTCGTATGTGTTGGCGTGGCCAGCGAGAATAAGGCTGATCCGGCCATCATGGCACACATGAAGCTCGAGAAGATCAGTCCGAATGGCAACTCCTCGTCGGAGCCTGCCTTTGTCCTCGCACTCTTGAGTGCGGCCGACCAGAAGAAGACGAAGAGGTACATGGTACCCTCGAAGAAGGTCGACGTGAGGCCCAGCCCCCAGATGCGCTTATCGCCGAGGATGGTCCGAATACCACTGCGCATGTCCGCCAGGGACGTCGTCTGTCCGGCACCCTCCCTGCTGTTGCTTGTTCCGTAATTCTCTGGCCACGTCTTGAGGATCAGGACAGCAGCCGCTGCGGCACTCATAGCGGCCGCCAGGAAAGGCCAGACGCGCGCTCCGTCGAATCGAGAAACCAGTGCATCGCCGAGAACCCCTGACGCGATGGCAACAATCGAACTCAGTGTGGTCATGTTGCCGAAAACGGTGCCCAGCTTCAATTGAGAGCGAGCGAGATCGCGTTGGTGGTACTCGGTGATGAGCCAAGCTTCGAATACGCTGTAGAGCAGAGTCGTGGAAATGCCGCCGCTGAGTCGACCGAGGAAGAGAACGATGATATTGTCGAAGACCATGGAGAGACACGTGAGGATGTAGGTGGCGCAATAGATGAGGCACGCCAGTCGTCGCCCATAGCGGTCGGCGAGTCCGCTGCGAAGGACGCGAGACGGCGCCGGATATGAGCTGCTGCGTACAGAGCAGCGACGAGCTTTCGGCAGT